ACTACTCATTTCAATGTATTTGCATTTGCATGTGGAGTGTGCGATAGACTTAAATCCACATGGAGCACCCTGGGCAACGTATACTCATACGGCAAAAAAGTCTATTAACTGGCATTTGACTTCTGACTTCAAACTACCTCACCCCACTGTATGCCATATTCGACTACTTCCGCAGTACTCACCTCACCATTTTTCCTACATTTATGTCTGTCTCTTACATCACTTTTGAAATACTCTTCTATTCCCCCCCCCTCTCAACATTTTTTTCATTTTGATGTTCCTTCCCTCTGTGAAGCCTGAAGTCAATTAAAGGGCTAATGATAACTATCAAAACGCCTGCCATTTGATACAATACAGTATTTGGATGTAATGAAATTCAGGAAAATCGTATAATGCTCTCTGATAACGACATTTAATGAAAATAGTAATGGCGGTTTGGGGTTTAATTTACGAAGAAGCATTCACCCTAAAGGCATTGATCAGAGTACTCTAAGCCGCACGATTTATCCGGGTACTAAATGATATGCACAACACAAAGTAATTGAATTAAATGTGGGATTAAAAAAGGTATGAAAAAATAATCTAAAACTTAAATGCTCTCAAATAAGATATTAAAATTTCAATTTATTTCTTACAGGTAAAGACAGCTGAAATTCGTTGTAGCCGAAACACGATAAGGGATTTTGAATAGTCACATGCATAAAATTCTTTTCATATAAATAATAAAATCAACTGCGCTTATAACAATATGAAAATTCAGGATGTTTAATATTTATTATCCTTAAAAAGTGTTAATGTGGACAAATATTTAACGCCAGTATTTGTTTATATTGTTCAAAGGTAAAATAAATTCAACCGTGCTCAACTTGAAATGGCTATCATTAAATTTGATATATCTAACTGAGAAGCTAGACAGTGGATAGTCGCCGATGGCTCTACATGGGAACGATCAGTCCCATTTTTCAAGGGGAGAAGGTGTAACGTCCGATAACTCCCTTTTAACTAATACTACGTCTCTATTTCACAATGTTAATATTAACACTCACATGCCAAACTACCCTCTGGATCCTTATCACCAACAAAATGCGAGTTTTCTTCTTAGGAATTTTTCAAATCGTCCTGATATAACTCTTCCTCACTGTTATCCGATTGGTCCCGATAATCATTCGGACACTAATCACATTGCTGGTGGTGGTGATTTTCCTACTCGTCCCAGTGCATCTCATACAAATAATCCTTCAGATGGTAGCGCGCATGACATTTTTGGGGATCGGTCTCAAGGCAATGGTGTACATGTCGTCAGAACTCGAAGGCGAAAAGCAGGTGGCGAAAATGGTTCATCTCGTTGTTGTGTCGTTTGTGAGGAACCGGCTTCGGGTTATAATTTCGATCGTCTAACATGTGAAAGTTGCAAAGCCTTCTTTCGTCGAAACGCTCTCAAACCAAAGGAAAAGGTTAGTTCTGAATCAGTTTTCAACGTTTTTGGCTTTTTGTGGTTATCGCCTTAGCCATGTCATTTTATAAGTCTTTTTCTTGTCAAGATTAAGGCGTGCAGTCGAAATGGCGATTGTGTCATTGTGGGAAACCAACGCAAGCATTGTCCCTCTTGCAGATTAGAAAAATGTCTGGCAGTTGGAATGAAAAAGGAACTTATTCTTCGTAAGTTAACGCAACTCTTATTTCATTTTCGTTCTGTTCATTGATACGAGGATTTTTAAATTTGCTGGGTTTTTCTACGTAAAAATATTTTATTTATGAGAGGCATAGTTGCTAACCACTGATATGCATGGTTTCTTAAGAAGTTGGTCTCATTACTGGATAAAGGGTGGGCACTTTGTTTCCCTACCTAGTTTACTTCACCTGATGGTGCTTTTTCCGTTTTGTTTTTGTGGTTGGCTAGAAAGTGAGTCGTTCATATCGTTTGTCTCAATGTGTCTCTTTATACAAACGATTGATCATGTTTTAGGAGAGCTATGTTGGGGCTTCTAATCATCTCATTTGTACTGGGAGAACTGTTTTTTGTTTATCTATTTTTACTTTTACACATATGTGAACCGTGCGTAACGCAGGAAGGCTAGCTCTGGTAGCTATGCACGCAAGATAGGCGATTTCGTGAAATAAAATTTACTCGTACCTATCTATCTTACTCCATGTGGGTTATCGTGTGTTTGTATGTGTGGAATCATTTATGTAGGTAGGTGCACACAGACGATTGGCCGCTATCATTCCTTCTGTATAAACTGAGATTTCGATGTTCAATAATAAGTAGGAACATGAGCTAATGGAGGTAGATAGGCTCCTCTATTGTATCAAGATTTTAGGTTCACGCGTGCTTCGCGTATTTCAGGCGCGCGTTAGACACGACAATTTTTTTATCTCACCATTCTAGACGCACAATGTGCGCATACAAGTTTGCGTGTCAAACTTTTCTCTCTAGTCTTTTTTTCTGAGTATGACGTAAATAACGAGTAGCTGGGCCGTTTATAAGCGGCTACTATCTTGCTATGGGTTAGAAAATTACTCGGAAGATAGCCTCAAACGTGTGAATTCTTGTCTCTCCGTCCATCTTATGTTGGTTGCATTTATTTAGCTTCTCTCTGGAAATTGGTCTTACTACTGCTACTTCTGTTAGAGGCGGGTTCATGTGACCCTGGGTGGAGCGTAGTATAGTAGTAGGCTTTCAAGCAAGTAGTCCATTTAGGCCGCCAATCTCTCTTCCTTTTACGTCACAGAAACTCTATTGGCCATCGTCCTGCGCTTGTGTGTATGTGATGGAGAGCGAGATTTTTATGACCCGTGTGTGTGTGGGCGTGTGATTCGTGCGCTTTTTTCCCCTCGCTCCCAAGTTCTATCTCTCTCTTTCCGCGCGACGTTTGCTTATGAAGAGAAAAAAGTGATCAGCTTCTTATTATCTTCAGCTAGAGGTAGCTCTTCCTACTAGGAGAATTTATTGGCTATTTTGTCTAGACAGTCAGATGTTACATATTTAACTTGGGGGGGGGGGGGGGGGGGGGGGGGGGGGGTNNNGGGGTGGGGTGGTATTAAACACAACAGGCCCCATACTACAAATGAAAAGGGGGATATTAATGCAGCCTGAACAAGTATGCACTGGCTTTGTGTACTTTGAGCCATAAAGTAGTCAGACTCGCTGGTTAGTGTAGTTTGTTCGCGAAAGAATAAGCGGTTTAATTAGTTGTCTGCCCAGGCCTTCTAGATACATTGGTCGCACTCAAACTCTCCCTCCCTCTCTTTGATATTGAAGTTTAAAACGATCGCTTACGTGGGACGAAATGGATATTTGCCAAAAATAGCCCCCTAGTCCCATTTTAGCAGTGTTCCGTTTGCTACACTCGTCTCGGACAGAGGAGTAGTATTATGAAAACTCGAATTCTGCCATTCCCCTTTCTCACCCAAACTTAGTCGATATACAGTTGACTGTTTCATTAAATTTATGATCTGGTTTCTCTTCTTGGCTAAGTTTGGAGTTGGAAAGCGTATAGAGTTTCATAACTAATAATGATATACTTCGAATATGCTTTTTTATTCTCTGTACTTTTGATTTTAAGTACTTATTTGATTGTACCTGATTTCTTCGTACTTTAATTGTCACTTTGTCTCAATCGAATTGCACTTTTTGATTTGCCGTCTTATCACCCTCTATTGCTGATGCAAAGTTAACTAGCGCTTGTTATTTTATTCTCTTTCGGCGCTTGGTGGTGTCCAATTTTAGGGTTAAGTTTAAGATTATTGGTGTCCTTCCCCTCCCCCTTCCTCCCCCCTTCCCCCTCCTCGCCTATTTACTTTCTTCAGAGTGTACGTGGATTTCAATACAACATTAACTTAAGCTGAAACCTTTGAATACAAGTTCCGATCGGTGGTGTCTACATAGTTTAAGTTAATTGTATACCGCTCCATTCAACTGCTGTAAAATTGCACTAGAGATCGGTTCTTTCCTTCGTTTCTTTCTCCTAATCTTGCTGTTTAAAATTCAATTCAACTTTGCTGACACTAGGAAGTGCAAGCGCTCTGGTAGTAAATCGCATCATTACTCAAGCACTGTTAATGCTAATTTCTCAAGTCTGCAATTAATCTGGTTTCACCTTGGTCAATTCGTCTACAATGTATTATTGTAGTCGCTATGGCCGCAGTTAAATTCTTTCGAGCAATGCTGCTGCTTTGCTTCTCTAGGTGTAAGTACCCTCTAAAAGTGCATGACCTTTGATATTGGAATTCAGAAGTTCATATATCTACTGTCTATGAAATCGTATTTACTTTTAGGTGAGTGCCTATAATTTTACCGATCAATTAATCGAACTTGTCAAATAGTCGTACGTTCTTATTTGTTAACGGCGCTATTTGGTGCCCGAAGGGAGAAGGGGTATCACAGTTTGACTTCATCAATCTGGTCTGATAGAAAAATTCATTTAAATGCTAGCATGGCCTTCTATTGTCAACCATTTTTTTGTTTACCTTAAGCAATTTCTTCTCAATTATTGCATCAAAGTCCTTGTAATTTCAAGTTTTTAGACAATGCCCTATGTAATGCTTAATTGTAGCTTGCAACGTGTTCATAAAAATCATGATATAGTTGGACTTTGCCTGTCCAAACCCACTAGAACGTCTTATTTGCAGTCTGTACACTTATAGTGATGATATGTTTACCACATTTACAGCGTCATTGAAAATGTTGCGCAATTTGGCCTCTCAACCTTTCAGTAAGAAGAAGTTTAACTGATTTATAAAGGCATTATTCAAGCGCATGGACGTCTAAAATTGAGAGGAAATAGATTGCGTGTCGCAATCAATGCATTTTATCTATTACACGTTTCGGCTCGAAGGAGCGTTGTTGCTCTTATGGAAGTTCATTTGAAGGGACTCATTGAATTGTATGAAATTCTATTATGTGGAGTTTCAACTGCTCGCATCCTTTTCGAATATAACGTACAGTGGGGTCATGGTAGTTTGAAGTGAGAAGTCAACTGTAGGTGAGGTGAGTACTGTGGAAGTAGTCGAATATGACACAGTAAGGTAAGATGATTACTGTGAAAGGGGTCGAATATGACATAAGTGAGGTGATGGTAGTTTGAAGTGAGAAGTCAACTGCCTTAGTCGAATATGACATACAGTGGGGTCAGAGTCAACTGAAGGTAGAAAAAAGGCGAGGTGAGTACTGTGGAAGTGGTGAAATATGACATACAGTGGGGTGATGGTAGTTTGAAGTCAGAGGTATATGACATACAGTGGGGTGATGGTAGTTTGAAGTGAGAAATAGGTAGAAAAAAGGTGAGGTTAGTACTGTGGAAGAAGTCGACAGTAGAGCAAAGGTGAGGTGAGTACTGTGGAAGGGGTCGAATTTGACATACAGTGGGGTGATGGTAGTTTGAAGTGAGAAGTCGAAGAGAAAAGGTAAGATGAGTACTGTTGAAGTGGTCGAATTTAAGAAAAAAGGTGAGGTGAGTACTGTGAAATGGTCGAATATGGACAAAGGTGAGGTGAGTACTGTAAAAATAGTCGAATATGATATAGAGTGGGGTGATGGTAGTTTGAAGTCAGAAGTCAACTGCCGATCAATAGACTTTTTGCAAGTCAGAAGTCAACTGCCGATCAATAGACTTTTTTGTCTTTGAAGTCAGAAGTCAACTACCGTACAGTGGGGTCATGGTAGTTTGAAGTGAGAAGTCAACTGTAGGTGAGGTGAGTACTGTGGAAGTAGTCGAATATGACACAGTAAGGTAAGATGATTACTGTGAAAGGGGTCGAATATGACATAAGTGGGTTCACAATAATAGAGAGTAGGGTAAGGTGAATACTGTAGAAGTGGTCAACTATGACACACAGTGGTGAGTACTGTGAAAATGATCGAATATGACATGGAGTCAGCGAGTACTGTGGAAGTAGTCGAATATGACATACAGTGGGGCGAGTGCTGTTGAAGGGGTTGAATATGACAAGCAGTCGGGCTGATTGGTAGTTTGAAGTGAGAAGTCAACTGCCGGTTGATAGACGTAGTTTGAAGTCAGAAGTCAACTGCCGGTTGATAGACTTGTTAGTTTGAAGTGAGAAGTCAACTGCCAGTTAATAGACTTGTACCGTTAAAGTAAGATGAGTACTTTGAAAGGGGTCGAATATGACATACAGTGTGGGTGATGGATACTGTAAAAGTGGTAGAATACGGCATTCAGTGGGGTTAGTACTGTGGTAGGGGTCGAATATGACATACAGTGGGGTGGTGGCGTACTGTGGAAGGGGTCGAATATGACATACAGTGGGGTGAGCTACTGTGGAAATAGTCAGAAGTCAACTGCCGATTAATAGACTTTTTGATTTTCAGTGAGAAGTCAACTGCCGGTTAATAGACTTTTTTGTGAAGTGAGAAGTCAACTGCCAGTTAATAGACCTTTTTGCGTTGAAGTCAGAAGTCAACTGCCGGTTAATAGAATTTTTTTGCCGATAGTGAGAAGTCAACTGCCGGTTTATAGACTTTTTTGCCGCTTTGAAGTCAGAAGTCAACTGCCGAATAATAGACTTTTTTATTTGGTAGTTTGAAGTGAGAAGTCAACTGCCAGTTAATAGACATTACTTTAAAAGAGACAGACAGACAGACACAAAGGCATAAAAAGGGTAAGATGAGTACTGTGAACGGGGTCGAATATGACAAATAGTCGGGCCATAGTAGTTTGAAGTGAGACAGAAAGACATAAATGCATAAAAAAGGTAAGATGAGTTCTGTGGATGGGGCAATAGTCGGCTCATTGTAGTTTGAAGTCAGAAGTCAACTGCCGGTTGATAGACTTGATGGTAATTGAAGTCAGAAGTCAACTGCCGATTAATAGACTTGGGGTCATGATAGTTTGAACTCAGAAGTCAACTGCCAGTTAATAGACTTACTCATGGTAGTTTGAAGTCAACTGCCAGGTAATAGACTTTAGTTTGAAGTGAGAAGTCAACTGCCGATTGATAGACTTTTATTTGAAGTCAGAAGTCAACTGCCAGTTAATAGACCTTTTCAGTCAGAAGTCAACTGCCGGTTTATAGACTTTTTTGCCGTTTGAGTAGTCAGAAGTCAACTGCCGGTTAATAGACTTTTTTGTGAAGTGAGAAGTCAACTGCCAGTTAATAGACCTTTTTGCGTTGAAGTCAGAAGTCAACTGCCGGTTAATAGAATTTTTTTGCCGATAGTTTGAAGTCAACTGCCGGTTTATAGACTTCGAATATGACATAGAGAAGTCAACTGCCAGTTAATAGATCTGGTCATGGTAGTTTGAAGTGAGAAGTCAACTGCCGGTTAATAGACTTTTTTGCCGTATGAGTATACGTTGCCCAGGGTGCAGCTTGTGGAGGTAAGTCTATCGCACACACCGGCATAAATTGACATTGTTGGGTATATTAGCGTTGACAGTCTGGTCAGGACATTTTGATCGAGTTGCTTTAGCCAGGATTTTGTGTACAAGGTCACTTTTTGCTTGCTTATTAGAACAAAAGGTGAGAGAACTAGAAAGGCTTTCTACAGAAGTCAATAGATGACATTTTCTCTTCATTATCTGCTATTGAAGGGCAAATTCTAGTTCACGACGGTTTGTTTGCTCTTACTATCATTCGGATCACTAAAAAATATGTAGTTAATGGCATTAGACTACTTAATCCTATGGTACCGTTTTCATCATATTTGTTTTGGAGCCAATTCCCTTTAGATATTATTTTTCAAATGGCAGGCTTTATGATACTTCTCATTAGCCCTTAAACTTTTACTTCAGCTTCCCCCATGGGTGGGTGGGGGTACATATATAGCAGTTACTTAATAGCAGTTCATTAGCTGTCTTCTTGCTTCCCACTATCTCTGGCTTTCCGTCGTTGTCTTTAGGACTGGACATCGAATCAGGTGTGTCTTCTCCATTTCCTTCTGTAGGTTACATAGGGGGCATGTGGGTTGAGTATATACTCCCAATCTGTGAAGGTGTTTTGCCAGGCAATCGTGTCCGGTACGTAGTCTAAACTCAGCAACAGCTTCAATTATTGGTCAGTCGGCTATGTCGGAGAGTGCCACTGTCCACTGTTTCTCCTTTGTTCGAGCTTCGAGTTCGTTTCACCTTGAGGTCTGGAATTCTCTCCTGACTAAGGCCTTCATTGTGTGGAAAGACATCGGCCGGTCCATACATTGCAAAATCGTTGTCCCCTTCTTAGCAAGTGTGTCAGCAAGCTCATTGCCTTTAATGCCACAGTGACCACTAATCCATTGTAGGACCACTGTTTTGTTTTTTTCTCTCAGCAGCTGATAGAGTTTTTTACATTCGTATATTTCATCTGTTTTGGGTGGCTCTCTGTTTTCAATAGAGTTTATTGCTGATTGTGAGTCCGAAAGTATCACCGCTTTGGTGAATTTCGTATCCAGGCAACATAATTGGCATAGTGCTATCCTAATGGCCTCTATTTCTCCTTCGAAAGCGGATCTATTGTGTCCCGCCCTTTAGATATCATTGTCATAGTCTTGGAGATATTATTCCTAAATGTGATAGAATCGAATAAATAGTTATTAAGAACTACGCCTTCCTTCTTATCGATTTTCAGCTCCGGAGAAATTGGAACAGCGTGCCAAGCCAAAGCGTCGAAGGCAAAACGCCAATACTGATGAGGCATCAACCTCCGGTCCTGGCCCATCTACTATCATGCCTTTCGGGACCCACGGCGGTGGTGGAGGCTTTTCCCAACCGCCAAACCTTCATCCACAGGCTGCTAATCTCGTCGGTTCTCGGGTTCCGCAAAATCAGTTCGGTCCATCTGAAGCTCATGAATTTATGTCCACGCGCAATCTAAACAATGTAAGTGGGTGATTCGCAATAGTTTTCCTGATTTTTCATATACTTTTTTTGAGAGGTTATGGTCTGCAATATTCCTGAATCTTTGAAGTAGAAATTTCATGTTTGCATCTTTTTGTTGTTTAGATTTTTCGACTTTGATTTCTCTCTCGTGGTCTATTCGTAAAAACAAATTGTTAATTCCAGTCAAATTACTAGGATTGCATAGCTTAAAATAATCTGGATTTCAAATTCATTTCAAAATTATGGGTCATTAAAGCACGCGTTCCCTGTCCCAGTTAAGACTACCCGGTAGAATTTTGTATCATTAGACTGGCATAGTCTTGGTGTACTTCTCCTTTCAATGATTTTCCTTTAGTCCTTGTTGATCTTTTTTAACCCTCTTTGGACAAAGGGGGGGGGGGGTTTTGGTTGAGAGGAAAATGAAGAACGTCTTGAAATCAAGCCCTGCCTAGCTGGGAGTGTTGTCAATTTTACGGGTTGAGAACTTTTTTGTTAGCGTTTAGTCCTGTCAGAGTTTAACAATTTTGCAGTGTGTTGGGTTCTCAGGGCCAAACTACTTCAATTTCTGGAGGTTTGTTACCTTTACCATAATTGGAGCTTTACGATATTATGGTTATCGTCTCCTAATATCATACAAGATTTTAATCTTCATTGTCAAGGCGTAGATTTCCCAATAGTGTCCACACCTTGGGTAGCGTTTTCTCCTTTCTCTTTTAAAAAAGGCGAGCGAATTTTGACAATTCTATTTGCGAATTTGACAAGAGTATTTGTGGGACTTTTTTATTAAAAAAAGGACACAGCAACTAATTGTCATGTGCAGAGGTTGGAAAGAAGTAGAAGAATGAAACGCCTGTCTTCTTCCTTTTCCCCATTGAGTAGGAGTCTGCCTCTTTCGTCTTTCAAACTGCCAAGGCAGATCGGGTGGAAGGGAGGGAGGGAGGGGAGGGTATGCTTGTGTCACCTTGCCTTTGTGGGCTAATTAGTTGCCAGTTTGCAGTATGACAGCTTTGGTCATCCCCCCTCCCTTCCTCTCCCTCCTTCCCTGTTAGCTTGCAACTGAGTTTCGCGTTTTGACCACTTTATTAGAGTATTGTCGTTATTGTTGAAAGGGGATTGACCGCTTTCCCATTCATCCTTCATGCCTTCTGAAAAAAAAAGAAACAAACTTAGTCAAGTTTGGAAAGTTTCACCTGTAAAATATTTAAACTTATTCAGTGTCAAACTGAGGTCTATTAGGCTGCCTTACAATGTTACACCCGTTACTCTACTCTCTTCCCAGAAGTGGGTGTTTTGTGTCCTTTTTATTGCTAGTATTAGCAGCCATATCAGAGCAAGAGAAATTCATAATTTGCCTTCAAGTATCAAAGGTGTTCTCAACAAAGCGTTGCTCTGAACTTTGTTCGTTTAATGTAATTCATGTGTCGTTAGTGCTACAATACAAAATGCCTTAGCTTTTAGCTATTTAGGTTTCACCTTAGCTTTTAACTAGCTGTGAATTATCTACTTTGAGTAGATTTCAGAATCAGGAGTTTGCTTCTTTCAGCTTATTTAATACACTAAGACAGCATTTTGGATAGTTTTTTTCTATCCTGATATTCTATGTCTCTTCTGGCCTTCCTCAGTCTTCCCAATCTTTTTTTACATATTAAATGGATCATATTTTGCTAACTTTTTAATAGGACCCTCGTATGCCACCGTATTTCGGCAATCCTGTAAGTACTCTTCGTGGAATTAGGTTTCCTACGATGTTTTGAGTCTTTCTTCTTGGGTCTTATTAAATTCTTCCTTGTAGACGTGTAGTGCACACGTCGATTTGTTTTGAAACAATTATATATACCGCTCCCTCACCCTCTTACATTTTCTATCAATGTCCGTTTTCTATTGCACTTTTATATCTATTATCGCCACCTTTCAAGCGTAGATTTCTTCGCATCCTAATGCATTATTGTTATTGTTGTTGTTAACATTTAGCAATATTCATTCACGGATCCGAACTTTGGCGTAAGTTATCATACTCAACTAGTGTAATATAGTTTTACTGAGGGTTGTCGCCATTGTGTCGGAGATGCCCAAGGTCATTTATATGTCATTATTATTATTATTATTGTTATTTGTGTGTTGCTGTCATTTATTTCCCTCCCTGTTAGGGGGTTCACCTCTAGTAATCATATTAACGCATTCTCGACTTTTAATTAGCAACATCCTTATATGCAGCCAGACGATGTCTATTTCCCTGTAAGTCATCTCTGTTCAACTAGATTTGTTGAGTGGAGAGAAGGAAGTTTGCTTATATGTAATTGGCATAGTGCTGTCCTAATGGCCTCTATTTCTCCTCCAAAGCGGATCTATTATGTCCCGCTGCTGCGTAGAAAGAGCGCGGACCTATTATGTCCCGCTGCTGCGTAGAAAGAGAAGAAGTCCTTGAGTTCCATGTGGGGAATTCTCTCCCCCCACCTACATGTGATATTAATGTTGATTAGATTTCATTATGGCTTTGAGATGACTTTATTCGCGGTAGTCTTTTTCTTCTCCAGCGTCAGAAATTTGTTCTGGCTTTTTTTTTAGTTCGATGTCCTTAGAGTATAGATCTTGTGCAGTTATTTTTTTTTCATTCAGTCACCTCTAATTCAATTGCATTGTTTTGACAGCCATTTCCAAACTTTGGTTTTCCTGCCCCTAACGTAAGTTTTTCTTAAAGGACTTTCTTGCCAATGTCTCTTTGGAGAGACTTAATGATAGCAAAATGCACTTGAATGTTGTTTATTTACCTTCTTGTTTTTCCCCCCTTTGGAAAAGATGGTGCTAGCTATGTGGTAGGTTTAGAGCTTCTCCTTAGTCCTGAGTGATTTGCCTCTTTTTAAGTTGCCATTGCGACACGCTTTGCCTCCGACTGTCTTTAATGAGATTGAGAGAGAGAGGGGGGGGGGAGAGAGGTGTTCTCCGAAAACTTGAATCTGTCGGTGTACCTCTGATGTCGGAGTAAAGTAAGAACGTGGTCATTGAATTAGCTGCGTCAAAGCCATCGCTTCCTTTGCCTTGACTAAGTTACTGAGCCCGCTTTTGGAGATTGGGTGACTGACACAAAAATTTGTCTGTATCCCATCGCATTGAGGTGCTGACAACTAATTCCTTAGTCAAAAGGATCAGATGGATTGACTGCTTAAAGTTGAATGATTAAAGTAGTAAAATTTTTAATGCTCATGTTAGTTTAACAAAGAATGCTTTCCTTAATGTACTGTTACCTCATGCTGTAAAGTTAGCTCCATTCAAACTTTGTCTCGGCTTTACGATATTCTCCTGTCTCATTTTGTGAGCCTGTTAAAAATAGAAGTTTTATTTGTTACATTTAACAGCAGCAACAACCTCCTATGATGCAAAACCCTTGCTATAACGTAAGTCATCTAGGTTGAACTAACCTTCGTTACGAGTGTTGTTTTTTAATTCCTTCCTTACTAAATATGTAGTATTAGTTTTGGTAGACTTGATTACTATGTCTATCCTTTGCAGTCGAATCTCAACGTATTGTTGGCCCATTTAACGTGGTTGTATGATTTTTGAAGATGGGTGTTTATACTTACTATGCTATCACTAGTATCTAGGAGGTTCGTCCCACTTTCCGCTATCCGGTGTCTCTTGGAAAGCGTTCAAATTTCTCTTTTCGGCCTGAACTATTACTTGCTTTTTCACTAATGAATCCTTTATTGCATTTTAACAGCAGCCTCCACCAGTGCAACAAAACCCTTCCTTCAACGTAAGTTATCTTCTGGTGGTGGGGTGGGTTGGGGGGGGGGGGGGAAGGTGGAATTTCAGTTTCTTTAGCAACTCCTATTGGGCTTTTATTAGAAGTGATAGATGTCTCGAGAAGAACTTCTTGACCGAAGCGCAAGTAACTGCTCTCTCGTATCTTTATCTCTCATGGACGCGGCAATCGATAGCCTCAAATCACATTAAGACGCTAACTTGTACTTTTGAAACGATGGACGAAAGTGTGTCCTCTTGAGGTCATAGATAGTAGAGAACATGACGTCTTGAGTCATAGGAAACCGTAATAACTTTTTATTCCTCTGGGTCCGGTGAGTCATAGGAATGTAGTCTATCGTTGAGCCCTATGGCAATAGATGAGATGATGGGTCAACAATAATAAGGCGTAGTAGAAAGAGTATTTAATTAGTCCTATAACTAAATTTATTGGACATTGCAATCAGAAGAGTCTATCATTTAACAGAGTCTTCCTTTTGTATTTTATTAGCAACCTCCTGCGCCACAAAACTACAATTATAACGTAAGTTATCGTGGAGAAAAATCCACTCCTTCAAGTATGTAGATAGATAGACAGATTAGCGTTTGGTTGCGTTCAGTGCATAATAACGGACTTTTTACTTCATCAAACACTTCTGATCCTATCTAATGCCCTAGTTTTCTTGATAGAAATTCCTTTTTTTGTTTGTATATATCTTCAAAACTTGTGAGTAAATGAATGGTTTCGTTAATAATGCTATGGCCTTTATGATGCGCAAATATGATATCAATGTGCTTCTTATTATGTGTTATTCTTTATATGGCTCCATTTTCTACGTCCTTTCCATTATCGAAGATGAGTAGTTAGTTGATCTAAATACTCTATGTCTTCCATTTTAACAAACGGTTGTTTATTGGGTTTTAATAGCCAACCATGGTTCAAGGTCCTGGGTATAACGTAAGTCCTCTTTACTCAAATAGTTTCCTTGATGGAAGTTCAGTTCTACTGGAAAATATCCCTCAGAGATTTAGTGATACGTGTCGTCTCGTTCATTGCTCTTGTTTTCGCCTAAGACGTATTCAGTGTACTTTGTGTCATATTCATCAAATGTAGATAGTCTATGTCTTCCATTTTAACAAACGGTTGTGTGTATTGGTTTTAATAGCCAACCATGGTTCAAGGTCCTGGGTATAACGTAAGTCCTCTTTCATCGAATAGATTTCTCCATGGAAGTTCAGTTCTACTGGAAAATATCCTTCATAGATTTAGTGAG